TGTTCCCTGCTTTCCCCTTCCCTGAGCCGGAGGGGTCCTGACCATCTCAGGGCTTAGTTCTCCTTGCTAGATTCATCTCTGCCGAGTAGGAGGGAAACAACAGTCTATTGACCTGTCCACTTCCACGATCTGGCCACACTTAGAATGGGGTGTTTTGGGGGCTGGAGCGATAGCACAACAGGTAGGATTGTTTGCCCTGCATGCGGCCAACCCGGGTTCGATTCCCAGCATCCCATATGGTTCCCTGAGCACCGCCAGGGGTAATTCCTGAGTCCAGAGCCAGGAGTAACCCAAAAAGCATACCCAAAGAGCAAACAAAAAAGAATGGGGTGTTTTAGCAAAAGATTTGTAAAGAACAAAAACTTGGGGAAATAAAAATAAGGTACAGGGCGGTAAAAGTTAAGATTTAAGGGGTGCGCGTGCACACACACACACACACACACACACACACACACACACACAAGTTCTGTGGTCTATTGCAAGAGGCTGAGCGGGCAGGACCCTCTTCACAGGCATCAGAAAGGAGCAGGCCTCTTGCGTGGGGCACCCGCTCAGCTGTCAGTCCCTCTGTTCCTCGGTTTGGTGCTGGCACTTGAGGCTAAGGGCGCCCCCGTTCCTCACCAGGCCCAGCGTTGAAGCTGGGGCACACGCTCTGTCCCCCCACTCCCGTGCCCTGCGTGACTCTCCTTCTGCCAGTTTTCGGCCCCGGTTTCCCTTCCTGCCTTCGCTTCCCGCTTGTCTGCCGGTCCCGTGCTCCCACTCGAGACCTTCCCAGCTTGCTGGCGAGTGAACCCTAACTAGCCTAACTAGACACCCCCTAACTGTGGCCCCGGTCCAGCCCCATACCTGTCCTCACCCGCCCCTGCCTGGCCATGCAGGGCCTTGCCCGGTTCCCTTCGGCTCCTCCCACTCCTGCCTTCCTTCCTGCTCATGGAGCACTCACTGGGAGCCCCGTGGGGGAAGCTCGTGGAGACCGTGTGTCCCGGGCAGGAGGGACCCCAGGCCTCCTCCCGTGATTCCTGCTCCCTACCCGACGCTGGGGCTCTGGGGCTCTGGGGCTCAGTGCGGGCACAGACCTGTGGCAACAAGGGGCCGGGGGTCCGTGTGGCAAATGTCGGGCATTCGGCCCTGCAGGCTCCCGGGACAGACGCTGTGCCAGGTGGCTGCGGCACATCTGAGGAAGTCACCCCAGACTTCCCAGCGTCCCTCCTGGAAGCAGGGGTGCCTGGGCGGGGAGTGGAGGGTGGAGGTGAGGAATCCAGGACTCGGCTGTCCTGGGACTGCAGAGCCCCCCGGGATAGAGTTGCAGAGGGAGAGGGCATGTCTGGAACTGCCCAGAATAGCCCTCTCAGCTGGACACCCCAGACGCTGACCTGACTCAGGTTCTTTCTTGGGCAAATGTGTCAAACACCCCCAAATAGGTCCAAGCCTAATCCCTTCTCCTCCTCCATAACCATCTGCATCTGTGTCTTTTTTTTTTTTTTTTTTTTTTTTTTTAGCTACACCTAGCGGTGCTCAGAGCTTACTTCTGGCTCTGCACTCAGGGATCACTCCTGCCGGGGTTCAGGGGACCCTATAAAGTGCCAGGATCGAACCCGGATTGGCGTCGTGTAGCATAAGTTGTACTTTAGGGCTTCAGCCCCAACCCTACCTCTTCTGGTTGTGAAGTTCACACGAACTCACTGGGAAAAAGTTATTTCAGGAAGCATTTTTCTCTAACAAGTACTTAATAACTGCGTGATAGGTTGGGCCTTCTAAATGCTGAGGGACAGCGCTTAGTAGATGAAACAGCTCCCCTCCCCCTCATCAATCTAGCCAAGATCTAGATCAAGATTCAGCCAACAACTGCCTATGGGCCTAAGTCAACCGGCCACCTCTTTGTAAATATAGTTTCATGGGAAACACAAGTACTTATAAATAAAGTTTTATCGGAACGTTGCCACGTGAAACTTAAAGAGTTCCGTTGGAACACAGTCACGTTGTCAATAAAGTTTTATTGGCACACAGTCACGAGCACTCACTCACCTGATGCCTGAGCCTTAATAGCAGGATGAAACAGTGGGGTCAGAGACTGGGTGTGGTCCCTGAAGCCCAAACTATCGACTCTGTGGCCCTTTCAGAAAAAGTTTGCAGGGGTCTGACATGAGTGAGCAAGTAACGAACCCTTCCTGGGCAAGCAGGGCACCTGCCTTGCATGCGGCTGACCCGGCTCTGATCCCTGGCACCACGTTGTCTCCCTCATGCCCCTCCAGGAGGGACCTCTGAGCACTGCTGGGTGTGACCCCTAAACAGAAATGAAAGAGAACCCCGCGCCCCCCCCCATCTTTCACTCATGAGTGTACATTATAATGCTAGAGGTATGACTTAATCGTTTAGGGGGAGGCAGGGGGGAGCCACATCCGGCAGTGCTCAGGGCTTCCTCCTGGCTCTGCACTCAGGGATCACTCTTGGCGGTGCTCAGGGGACCATCTGGGATGCCGAGGATCAAACCCATGTTGGCCGTGTGTAAGGCAAGTGCCCTGACCACTGTACTCTCTCTCTCTCTCTCTCTCTCTCTCTCTCTCTCTCTCTCTCTCTCTCTCTGTGGCCCCTTAAGAAGTTTCCTCAATCGCAGTGGTACAGGCGGTACAGAGTTGTCAGTGCGGGTGTGACATCATTGCTGAAACAGTCGCTCCCCCACCGCAGAAAGATGTGGAACCTTCCCAAAGTTTCCCTTTGCTCCCTCGCCTTGTTTGTCCGCGTGTTGGCTTTCACAAAGTTGCTGTCGTGACTATTGTCGTGATGTCATTCTGTCCCTACCCTCCTAGTAACCGTTTCCTGGGATAAGGGATTTGCCTTCCCGGGATGGCCAATGTTCTTTCCGGACTGGGTTCCTGGGCTGAGTTGAGGCCATCCTAGTGTAAGTTCCACTCGTGTCTGTCCCAATGGACACTTGGGTCTTCTTTGTTATTCGCTTGCCTGCAGGGAGCACCCGCGTCTATGGAGTTTGGTGGGCACGTCCAACAGTTTTCTTTCATTTGCTTTGTTTTGCTTTGGGGGACCCAGCCCCTGGTGCTCAGGGCCTACTCCCAGTGTGGTGCTTATGAGGGGTTCCTGGGGAAGCTCCAAGCAGTGCCGGGGAGCGAACCTGGCCCCGCTGCACGCAGAGCCTGTGCCCCACCCGGACCCGCCTCGCCGGCCTCTGACGGTTTTCCTGAGTTGACCTTCTGGGACCACGAAGTCGAGGCGTTGGGTGCCCGCCTTCCTCTGTCAAAACTGGGTCCGGACTTGTCTTCATGGTGCTCCTCGCCGGCCCCCGAGTGCGAGTGTGTCCCCAAGCCCCAGAGCTGAGCATGCACAGGTCCTGGCCACTGTCTCTGTGACATCTCGGAAGCCAGGCAGCAGCTGGAAGGCTGCTCAGATGACCAGGCCATTCGCCGTCCCACAGAGAGTGTCAGGTGACCCTCGAGGTCAGCGCCCTCTGGGTATGCCCAAGTGGGGACTGACTTCACCCTTGAAACACGCTGCAGCTCCCTGCCTCAGCAGACAGATGCACATACATCCACGTGCACACACATTCATGCACGCACACACACATGTACACACACACACATACATCCCACACACTGATAACACACACGTGCACTCCTGCACACAGACATTAACACTCATGCTTATGCATACACGTACACTCACACACACTAACGTGCATATGCCCTCAGACACACACACTAACATTCATGCATAGGACTCACACACACATGCCCACACGTGCACTCACACTAACACACGCACATGCACAAACACTCATGCACTCATGCACGTAGGCACTGACAGACATGTGGGCACACACACCAACACATCCATCCAGTCTCACCTGTACATGTATACACACATACAGCCCCACACACGTGCACACATGCAGTCACACACACACACACACACTCATGCACGCACGTACTACTGGTCCCAGCACCACATGGGCCTCCCAGCATGTCCAGCAGTGGGCCTGGACCCCTGAGCAGCCCTGGGCCTAGTCCCCATAGTCTATAAATACATGTCAAGTCATTCTCCAGAACATCCTCAGGGGCCCGGCTCTGCCCCGCCCCCTCTCCCCCTCCCAGTACTGAGTCAGGCTGGTGGGAGGGGGGTGTTGGGGAGGGCCGGGGGCCTGGAGCCTGGACTTGGGGCCTGCAGAGATGGGAACAGAGCCATGGCCGGGGTGGGCTGGGCAGGTGGTCGGGGGGAGTGGGATGGAGGAATGCTGGGGGCAGGCTGGGACCGGGAGGATATTGGGGACCCCATGTCAGGGGTGCTGGATTCCAGCGGGAGACTGGGGATCCCGGGAGGTTCCCAAGCTGTGACTGCCCGGGGCTGGCCGCAGACGGGACCAGGTGGAGGATGCTGCCACCTAGTGTCTGGAACCGGGAAGGTCGCTCTCACCCGACCCCCGGATTCCTCAGCTGCTGGCCCTGGTCACCCAAACGAGGGTGGAACCCTGAAGTGCAGGGCCAGCAGGGACGGTGTGGACTTGGGGTCCAAGACCCCTCCCAGGGCCACAGTTTCGTTTGCGTTCACCGGACGGGCGTTTGATGTGAACCCTGCCACTTCCTCTCGCCGGGACCCAAGGTCCTCCTCTGTGATGTGGGGGTGCTCGGTGGGGGTCATAGGCCCGTCTGGGAGGTTGGCTCTGGGGGTCGCAGACCCGTCGTCTGGGAGGTTGGCGGTGGGGATGTGTGAGCGCCTGAGTCCTCAGCCTTGAGAGGCCCGATGCACGGGCCATCCTCTGCATCCAGGACCCAGGGGGTGTGAGGGGTCCAGGGGGACAGGGGTGGGGTGCGTGGGGGCGGGGATGCGTCCGGTGCAGTGTGGGGGCGGGAGAGGCCCGCGAGGCGGGGTGGGCAGCCCCCTCCCTTGGGCCCGCCTCTGAGACGGGAGGGCGCCGGGCGGGGCTGGGCGGGGGCAGTGCGGCAGCGCCCACCCGGCTCCCCAGCCTGAACGACTCTCCCTTCCCTCCGCAGGACCAGCTGAAGCAGTGCTTCTCCCGGCGGGTGCCCGAGGCCAAGGACACCGACACCCTCGTGCAGGAGGCCGACAGCCAGTATGGGACGTGGACGGGCCAGCGGCAGAGCGGGGACAGGTAGGGAGTGCATGCGGCCCTGGGGCCTCGTGATGACCAGAAACCGCGGCCCACCGCAAAAGCGGCTGTGTGTTGGAGTGGGTCCTCCAAACAGCGCTGGCCGGACCGTCCAGAGCCTGGCAGGGCCCCCCCACCCCCCGCCCCGCACCCTGCATCCCGGCCAGCCCCGCCCAAAGCCCCGCCCAAACCCCGCCCACATCCTGGCTGGACACACCCACAGCCTGGCAGGCCCCCAGAAGTCCCGCCCACAGCCAGGCAGGCCCCGCCCACAGCCCCGCCGGTCCCACCCACAGCCCCGCCAGACCCGCCCACAGCTCCTCTGGCCCCGCCCACATCTTGTCTGGACACGCCCATAGCCTGGCAGGACCCCCAGCAGCCCGGCCGACCCCGCCCACAGCCCCACCGGCCCCGCCCACAGCCCGGACAGCCCCGCCCAATCCCCCGCCCACATTGTGTCTGGACACGCCCACAGCCTGGCAGGTCCCCCCCCCCCCCCCAGCAGCCCCGCCCACAGCCTGGCAGAGCCCTAGGTCAGCACTGGCCGGCTGTGGGGTTTTTCCTCCCTGTCATGTAGAAGTGAAATGAGGCATTGTCCTGGCAGCTGCTACACCACCAGCGGGCTCGAGCCTCCCCTTGTTAGGACGAGGAATGTGGGGGAGTCCCAGTGAGGAATGTGGGGAGCCCCCAAACATCATCCGGAAAACTCCAGGAAAAGTCCCAGAGTGGCACGTGGGTCGGGAGAGAAGGCAGATGTGCAGTCGCCGGTTGGGGGGAGGGGGACAGGGAGCAGCTTCAGGACCAGGTTTCTGGAGCCTGCTGCTGCCCGTAGGACCGTGGAGGTGGCAGGAGGAGAAGCCGAGCCTCCTAGGGGGGCGGAGAGGGTCGGTCTCCCGCCTGGGGACGAGGTTCCCAAGGTTTTGCTGGGTGAAGGTTGAACGTGTGAAGGAGGAATGAATGAATGGATAAGCGGAGTCCTGCCCAGGGCTCCCGGCTCTGCTCAGACCCTGCTGGCCCGCGCTGACCCCCAGACACCGACTGCGGCCAGTTTGAGCCAGGTGTCTGTTTACATGCCTCTGCCATTCTCTAACCATGCTCTTGCGCTGTTTCACAGACCCCCAGGAGCCTCGAAACGCTGTCCAGTACACACACAGTCCACCCCCGGGAAAGCCAGTGACACGAATTCACAAGCCAGCACATCACGCTCTCAGATCTCACGTCAGGGCTGTTTATTTGTTATTATTATTAATTATTATAACAATGGGCTGGAGCAATAGCACAGCAAGTAGGGCGTCTGCCTTGCACGCAGCCGACCCGGTCGACCTGAGTTCGATTCCTCCACCCCTCTCGGAGAGCCCGGCAAGCTACTGAGAGTATCTCGCCCGCACGGCAAAGCCTGGCAAGCTCCCCGTGACGTATTCGGTACGCCAAACACGGTAACAAGAAGTCTCACAATGTTACTGGGCCCGCTCAAGAAAATCGATGAGGACAGTGACAGTGACAATTTTAACAATGCCTGGCTGTATTGTTAAAACAATAACAACGATAATAATAATCAAGCCCACAAGATCCGTGTGAGGTAGTCCAGGGGGTCCGGGAGGGGCTGGCAGTGCTCAGGGCTTACTCCTGGCTCCGTGCCTGAGAATTACTCCTGGCGGTGTTCGAGGGGACTATATGGGGTGCCGGGGATTGAACCCCAGTGGGCCACGTGCAAGGCAAGCACCTACCCTGCTCGGCTACTGCTCTGCCCCAGGGCAGGGTTGGTTTGTTTGTTTTATTGAATCACAGCGAGATACAGTTACATAGTTACTCATGATGGGGTTTCGGGCTACAGTGTTCCAACACCGTCCCTCCACCAGTGTACATTTTCCCACCACCAGGGCTCCCAGTTTCCCTCCCACTGCCCCGGCCTGCCTCAATGGCAGGCACTTTTCTGTCTCTCTGTCTCTTTCTTTCTCCTTTTTGGGCATTACGGTTTACAGTACAGATATTGAAAGATTTATCATGTCTATTCCTTTGCCTCCCTCCAGCACTCAGTCCTTGTCCAGAGTGATCCTTTCCGGCTACCATAGTCCTAGAGGCCCCTTCTAGATCCCAACTGCCCTCCCCTTGTGGCAGTCTTGTCCTTCCACTTGTGGCAAGCTTCCGTCCGTGGTGTGTGTGTGTGTGTGTGTGTGTGTGTGTGTGTGTGTGTATGTGTGAAAAGCAGTGGGGTGCAACCAGGCCGTGGAGCCCTTTGTAAAAGTATGCAGTGCTGGTTGGTATTTTGGGAAAATAGACAGCACAGAGGAGGGTGTGTGACATGGGCATGTTTGCTTTGCCCTGAGTGCAGGGGTCCAGCATGCTGCCCACACACGCCTCAGCTGTTTTTTTTTTTCTTTTTGGGTCACACCCGGCGATGTTCAGGGGTTCCTCCTGGCTCTGCACTCAGGAATTACTCCTGGCGGCGCTCAGGGGACCCTATGGGGTGCTGGGAATCGAACCCGGGTCGGCCGTGTGCAAGGCAAACGCCCTACCCCCTGTACTATCGCTCCAACTCACACACAGGGCCCCTCCTCCATCAGCGCAGAGCTGGGGGTTCTGGCGTGGACAGGGCAGGGCTGGTACGCCCCCTTCCTGCCCAGGAGCTGTGGGGGGGGCACCACACCCTGGCCAGCTGCACATCCCCCCACCCAGTCTCCAACCGCGTCTCCCCGTTTTCTCCCAGCCCGGCGCCCGAGTCCCCCTCTCCAGACGGCAGCTCCGCGTCAGCGCGCAAACAGCCCCCCAGCAGCCGCCTGTCCTCGCCGTCCACCCCATCGGAGCCCCCCTCGGCTGGGGACAGCGCCCGGGAGCAGTGGAGCGCCAGCGTGGACCGCTCGAGCGCCGAGCTGGACTCCCCAGACAGCACAGAGGCGCCGCCCACGCCGGACGCCCACGCAGCCAAGGCCACCGACGACGACTTCGCCTTCATCGATGTGAGTGGGGGTGTCCCTCCTGGCTTGTTCCTTCCCCCTGAGCAGTGTCGGGAATCGCCCCGACAGAGGGCAGAGGGCAGGATCTGGGGCCCCAGCGACAGCACAGCGGGTAGGGCGTTTGCCTTGCACTCAGCTGACCCAGGTTCAATTCCCAGCATCCCATATGGTCTCCCCAGCACCTCAGGAGTGATTCCTGAGTGCAGAACCAGGAGTAACCCCAGTGCATCGCTCGGTATGACCCCAAAAGCGAAAAAAAAAAAAAAAACAACAGAGGGCAGAATCTGTGTGTATGAGTGGGTGTGTGTGTGGGGGGCTGGTGCACAAGACTCAGGTCTGCAGGTAGCTGGGTCACACAGGCCAGCATGGCTGTATGTCTTAGGATAAATGTCTTTACCTCTCTGAACTTTCTCATCCACTGGGACCCAGCTCAGGGCGCAGCGCCCCAGCTTCCCGTGTGTTTTGGATGTTAAAACAGACCGGTGACGCCCTCATTAGCGATGCAGCAGCTCTGGCCTCAGACCCCAGGGACGGAGGCCAGGCAGCCAGCGTGAGATCGGCAAGTGGTGATGTGCCGTCGGGAGTTTAAAGTGGGGTGAGCGACATGTGCATTCGGTAGCCAACCGCCGCCTCTCACTCCGGCTGGACGAAACAGGAGCGAAGGAGGGGACGGGGGCCACCAGGCTGGTTGGTAGTCTGTGGCACTGGAGCACTGTCCTCCCGTTGCTCATCGATTTGCTCGAGCGGGCCCAGTAACGTCTCCATTGGAGACTTTGTTGTTACTGTGTCTGGCATCTCGAATACGTCACGGGGAGCTTGCCAGGCTCTGCCGTGCGGGCGAGATCCTCTCCGGAGCTTGCCGGGCTCTCTGGAAGGGGCGGAGGAATCGAACTCGGATCAGCCAGGTCGGCCGCATTGCAAGGCAAACACTCTACCCGCTGGTAGTGGGTGGTAACCAGTGGCCGTTTATTTGCGTTTCGCAGCATTAGTTATAGAGAAATCACGAAGGGTTGGGGGTAGCAATGACACAGAGGTGTGGCTGACCATTATTGTAAACAATGAACAGATGTCAGGTTCTTCCTGCAGGGGAAGTTCTAGGAGCTACTCAAGGACAGACTCTGATCCTGGGGCGGGGTTCCATCCAAGGATCCCCTTTCCTTAGCCAGTATGCATTAAAATCGTCATCTTAAATTCAGTGCTTACCTCAGAAGAATCTGGCTTCACAAGTCAAAGGGTCTGATTTAGGGATGGGGGCGGTTGACAGGTAGGGGAAGCAGAGCACAGAGGAGAGGGTCGAGGTAAACACAGGATTGGGGGTGCCTGCTGGAATTGGGGGTGCCTCGGGAGCACTGTGGTGGGAGTCACTCAGTAAGCCTAAGCTCCCTAAGGGAAAGGACTAACCCAAACCTGTGCTGTCCCACAGGGTGTGTCCAGCCCCGGCTCAGGTGGGACATCACTGCCCCCAGTCCCGCAGAGGCCTGCCCAGAGGGGCGGCACCCCAAGGGCTTCCGTCTGGGGCCCAGCTGCCGCCCTTCCGAGGAGGCAGGTCTCTGAGCGCCGTGGATGGAGAGGGCAGATGGAGAGGGCGGCACGAGGCTGCCTGGGGTCCCCCAGAGAAGGCCGCCTGCCTGCTGCACTGGGGCCTCCCTCAGGCCCCCGAAATACCGATCAGGGTCTCCCGCCGGCATCTCGAGATCAGGTCAGAGACAGGGAGAGACTCACCTTGAGCCTGCATCGCTGGGGCAACCCCCTCCAGCCCCCCGTGGGCCCCCGGGTGCTCTGGAGGGTCCGGTTAGACAAGGTGCAAACGGCAAGGGTCCCCGAGAGGTCACTGCCCCAGAGCCCGGGGCACTGGGCACAGGGCCACCCCTCCTCATGATCAGCGTGAATCAGCCACCGACCCCGCTGGGATGTGTGAGGCCCCGGGGTATGTCGGCCCCCCTGCCCCCAAACTCCTGAGGCGCCCTGCGGGGGTTCGTGGCCTTGGCGTGACCCGGTGCTGGTGTCCCCTGGGCTCTGCACTGGCCGCTTATGAACAAGTGCTGAGATTTACGGAGGCCGGGAGTGCGTGGGAGGCGGGAATCCCGTCCTTGCCACAGCAAGGGGACAGGACCAGCCGCCGGGAAGGGCTCTCGGACCCTTGCTTTAGGCATCTCTGAGGACTCACTTGGACCGTGCAGTTGATGAATCAGTCAACAAACACGTGTTGGTTGTTGTTGGTGGTGGTGGTGATGGTGGGGAGGGGGCTGCTCCTGGCTCTTTGCTGAAGGTATTCAGTGGTATTCATGCAATGCCATGGCTCAGACGCAGGGCTCCCGCACACAAGGCCTGTGCTCCAGCCCATCACATACATGCATGAACACACATGCACACCCATGTACATGCATACACGAACATACATACACATGCATGCACCGATACATACATGCACATACACGACTCACGCACAAACACGCGTGTGAGCGCGTACACGGCATCTCCCCAGCCCCAGCCGCATGACCGAGCTTCTGCCATGCACTCAACTTGGCTCAAGCTCCCTGCAGGATGAGGCCACGAGGAGGGCCGAGGCCCTTCCCTTCCCACCCCCACCCCCGCCCCCACGTCCAGGCCCTGTGCTGAGGCTCCGGGGACATTTGACTGCTGTCCTGGGGCCCTGCGCTGCATTGAACCCGGAGGTCAGGGCTCAGCTGCTGTTGATGCAGCCTGAGGGGCTGGGAGTGCTCAAGCCTTCGAGGGTGTGTCCGCCAGCCCGGGGGTCCCATCGCCGGCAGCACGTGGAGTGAGGGAGGGAGGGAGGGAGTGGACGGTCGGATGAGGGCGGGAGCCGTCGCCCGCTGGTAAGGTTCTTGCCTTGCGCGTGTGCGGCCCTGGGTTCTGGGTCCAGCCCTGGCACACACAGACCGAGTAGGGACCCGAGGACACGGTCCCCGGCCCCCCTCGATCCTCCCCCTGACCCCCACCCCTCCCCTGCTGCCCCACAGCAAACCTCAGTCCTGGACTCGAGCGCACTCAAGACCCGGGTCCAGCTGAGCAAGAGAAGCCGCCGGCGTGCGCCCACCTTGCAGTCCAGCCGCCGCAGCCGCCTGGGCCGTGCCCACACGCTGGAGCCCTGGGAGGAGGCGGCCGACAGCGTCTGGATGTTCAAGGACTCCACGGGTAGGCCTGGCCCCCGCCCTGTCCCTGTCCTGCCTGGGCAGCGCGTCCTGTCCCTGCGCCCGGGGCCATCAGCACCGACTGGCCAGGCCTCCGCCTGCTCTTCAGGCCAGCTGGGAAGTCCGTTTTGTTTCTGTTTTTTTTTTTTTGAGGGGCTTCGCCCAACCAGTGCTCAGGGGCTCCCAGCTCAGTGCTCGCAGCCCAGGCGGTGTCTCCTGCATGCAGAGCACACGCTGAGGCCCCTCCGCCGCTCCCTGGCCCCAGGAGAGAGTGTTTGGGTTTCTTTGGGGGCTGGGGGTGGGCTGAGGCTTTCATCAGCTTTGCGGTGGGGCCATTTCTGCTCCCATCCTTCCGAAGTGCCCAGTAAACGCCCCCCCCACCCCCACCCCACACACACACAGGCTGGCGGGCGTCTCTTGTCCCAGATCCTCGAGCCAGTTCAGAGATTTATCCGTCTGGCTGGGGGTGCTTCTGTGTGGGGTCACACTGAACAGGTCCGGGGGGCAGCTGTCTATCGGGGTGCAGTGGGGTGCTGTCTGTGAGCCTCTAAAGAAAGGAGGAACCCTGGTGTGTGTGTGTGTGTGTGTGTGTGTGTGTGTGCGCGTGTGTGTGTGTGTGTGTGTGCGTGTGTGTGTGTGGTGATGGGCAGTTTCTTTCCTGAAAAGGGGGCAGTGGGCAGGGTCAGTCTGGCACCCTCAGGTTTAGGGGGTGATCTCTGTGACTCCCAGCTCTGCGCCTCCTCCTGCTTTAAGAACTCTGAGCTCCACTAATGTCCCCCCCCATCCCCACGCCTGCTCCCCTTCCCCCCCCCAGGTGCTGTGGGGCTCAGAGCACGGGTGTGGGCAGAAGGGGGGTGCACAGCCTGTCAGCCCCATGGGTCACCTCCCCCCACCTCACAACCCTCCCCCCCCCACCCCCCCCGCTGCTGAGGCTTCCCTGGTGCCTCCACCTCAGGGAAGCCTTGAGCAGTAGGATGTAGGTGTCCGGCTGGGCCGCGAGCACTGAGCTGGGAGCCCCTGAGCACTGGTTGGGTGAAGCCCCTCGAAAAAACAGAAACAAAACGGACCTCCCAGCTGGCCTGAAGAGCAGGCGGAGGCCTGGCCAGTTCTGAGCATCAGGGGGTGGGGAGTCCCTGGGGACCCCAGACCCAGCTCCCTTTATGCCCCTGGTTCTCAGAACTGCAGCTGCCAGGGCCCAGGGTGGCCCAGGAGGGGAGGGGGCACCTTCTGGGCGTGCCCCGTCTCCTGGCTTGGCTTGAGCGCCTCTTGATCCCCATCCTGGCCCCCGCCCCCCACGCCCCCCAAGTGTGGCCTTGGGCAGGGAGCAGGAGGAGAGGATACAGCCGCCCCCCAGGGAGGGGTCACGGCTAGTCCCACGGGGCTGAGGCCATGGGAAGGAAACTCGGGGTGACTCCCGAGAGCCCCCCGCCATGGGGCCGAGGGAAGTGCCTCAGTTTCCCTGGCTGGGCCGGAGCGGGTGGTGAGCGGGTGCTGAGAGCGGACGGGGAGCTGGGGGGGGAGCCGCGGGTGTGGGGTCCCCCGCCCCTGCGCAGGCTGGCGGCTCCAGCACCCCCCTCTGCCACAGAAGAGAAGCCGCCCCCGAGAGAAGAGTCGGAGGAGGAGGAGAAGCCGCCCCGGGCCGAGAGGACGCCTGGGGGACACGCGCAGAGGACGCCGGCCTTCCCCGGGGTGGACCCTGCCGTGCTGAAGGTGCTTGGCCCCGTGGGAAGATGGACAGAGGCCTGGCTCTCCCTCCTCCCTCCCTTCCCTCCGCATCCATCCTCTTTTCCGCATCCCTCCTCCTCTTTTTCTGTCCCCCTCCTCCCTACCTCCCCTTCCCTCCGCTCCCTTTCTCCCTCCTCCTCCTTCTGCCTTGTCCTCCCTCCTCCCTTCCCCTCCTCCTCCCTCCATCCCTCCTACCCCCTCTCCATCTTCTCTCTTTCTCCCTCTCCCTCCTCCCACCCTCCTCCTCCTCCCTCCCTCTTCTCTACCTTCCTTCCCTCTTTCCTCCTCTCCTCCCTCCCTTCTCCTGCCCCCCCTCCATCTTCCCTCCCTTTTCTCCCTTTCCCCCTCCCTCCTCTTCCTTCTTCCTTCCTCCCCTCCCTCCTCTTCCTTCCTCCCGCACCAGGGGGTGCTCCACGCACCCAGCCATGCTCAGGGGAGCCACGTGGTGTCAGGGACCTGTTCGGGGTCAGCCACATGCAAGGCCTATACGCTCTCAGTGCAAATCCCCGTGGACCTCTTTTGGAGTCCAGACCCGGCCACAGCGGGTGGCTCTCCCTGCTCCTCCCCTGCTCCTCCCCTGCTCCTCCCCTGCCAGGCGCATGCTCCTCTCATCCCGGGGGCCCCACTCTCGCCCTCTGTGTTTCCCTCCTCCCCTCATCCCTGGGCTTCCGGCTGGGTCCTTTCGGGTGCCGGGTACCCCTTCCCCAAGCGGCAGCGCCAGGGGCTGGCTGGGACCTGGCCCGGAGACATTCACAGACTCCCCCTCTCTCCAGGCTCAGCTGCAAAAGAGGCCAGAGGCGGACAGCCCCGGTGACCCCTCCAGCTGGACCCCGCAGCCCAAGACCCCCAAGTCTCCCTTCCAGCCTGGGGTCCTGGGCAGTCGTGTGCTGCCTCCCAGCATGGAGAAGGACGAGAGGTGAGAGACACCCCCACCCTCCAGGTCGGGGTGTGCTGGCCCTGGGGGCCCCCGCCCAGGCTTCAGAGCTCAGTGGGCGCCGGGGACTTGGTGGCACTTCCCCAGTGCAGACAGCAGGGGGCGCTGCTGGGCCACTCATCAGACCTTTGTGTGTGTGTGTGGGGGGGGGGCCCTGTCCGTCATCCACTAACAAGGTTCCCAGGTGTGATTTTGTTTTTTTGAGAAAAATTATTTCCGGGGCTGGAGCGATAGCACAGCGAGTAGGGCGTTTGCCTTGCACGTGACCGACCCGGGTTCGATTCTCAGCATCCCATATGGTCCCCTGAGCACCGCCAGGAGTGATTTCTGAGCGCAGAGCCAGGAGTGACCCCTGTGCCCCTGTGCATTGCCGGGTGTGACCCAAAAAGCAAAAAAAAATTATTTCCAAGCGTGATGGTTTTATTGTGGATGAAGGTGGGATTTATTGTGTGTGAGCTGTCGTGAGGACACAGGGAAAAAAGTAAACAAACAAGCAAAATTCCTGAAAATATTCTAATGCACACTGAGATCTGTTGTTCTAAGTTTCAGAGCCACAGCTGGAAGTGCTCAGGGCTGACTCAGGGGGACCCCATGGGATGTCGGGGATCGGACCTGGGTTGGCTGCATGCAAGGCAAGCGCCTTCTTCACGGTGCTATCTCTCCAGCCGCTGAGGACTTTCCTTCATTTAAATGTCAGGAAACAAGTCTTATCTCTCCAGAACCAGCCTAGTTCTAAAATAATAATAATCGCTGTCACTGTCCTCCCGTTGTTCATCGATTTGCTCGAGCGGGCCCAGTAACGTCTCCATTGTGAGACTTATTGTTAACTGTGTTTGGCATATCGAATACGCCACGGGGAGCTTGCCAGGCTCTGCCGTGCAGGCAAGATACTCTCAGTAGCTTGCCGGGCTCTCCGAGAGGGGCAGAAGAATCAAACTTGGGTCGACTGGGTCGGCCACGTGCAAGGCAGACAAGTCTTTCCCGCTGTGCTATCGCTCCAGCCCATAATAATAATAATTTTGAAAAGAAAGAATGAGCCGGAGAGATGGTGCAGTGGGTTTGGCACTTGCCTTGCATGCAGCGGACACAGGTTCTGCCGTTGGATCCCTTGACGCCTGCCGGGAGAGATCCCTGAGCACCCAGGGTGTGGCCTAAACGCCTCGTTCTCCCCTCCCTCCCCCAAAAAAACCTTCTCAGAAATCTAGAGCAGTGTTTGAGCACGTATCTATGCCAAGACCCCGTTGACACGTAGAGTCGACCTAAAGAAGTCTCCCCGCCTTTGGCGCGGGCAGTGAGGTGGGGTGGCAGACGGAGGGGTGGGTGGTGGAGCGAACTTAGCCCAGGTGGGCGCTTGTGTTTTCCTGGAGGGGCTGGCACATTCCGCTTCTCAGTCCCATGTTTCGGCCTTTGTGGCAGCCCCTCTCTTGCCCATCAGGTGACACCGACCCCTCTGCAACCTCTGCCGCCTGCCAACGCCCAGCTGTGCTCGCAGACGGGGAGTCGGGGGTCGGGGGGGGGGGTTACATCCCCAACAGTGCCTCACACCACCTCTCGCTGGCTCTGTGTTCCCAGATCCGACGTGGCCTCTCCCCTGTGGCTGACGGAGCTGAGGTCCAAGAAGAGGCAAAGTCTGTACGAGAATCAAGCCTGAGCAGGTGCAAAGGGCTTGGGGCAGACCAGGGTCCCCAGCAGGGGTGGTCCCCCTCCGCGTGGCCTGCGCAGGGACAGGGAGGATGTTGGGGCCAAGTCAGAGCCAAGTTGGGTCCCTGGCACCACATGGACCCCGGTCCCTGCCTGTGTGTTCCGGGTGTCCCCTGGTACTCTGGGCCTGAGTATCAAGTACCCCCCGGAGCCCCCTGCTGTTTCCCCGACCCTCTCCCTGCTTGGGACCCCCTACTTAAAGCAATGTGCTTGCTTTCCTTCCATCGCCGTGCCAGGGAGTGTCCACTAAGCCTCCGACAATCCATCAGAGGAAACTTCTGGGCCTCAGCTCTCCCCAGAGTCCTCCCCGGCCTGGCCTGCGGGAGTCGCTCTCGCAGGACGTAGCAGAATGGGGCGTTGCAGACTTCCAGGCCGAGGCTCACGGGCGCCCCGCTGACCCCGGGACTGTCCCTTCCTTCCACACAGGAGCACTGCCATGTCCAGTCAACAGAAGCCTTAACTGTCAGAACGGAAGACGCGGTCGCGCCCTCCCGCACTGCGGCACCCACCCGGGGCCCCTCCCAGGCGGTGGGGAACGCCGGCCTCGGGGGGGCCTCAGGCCAGGGGACCACCCCAAGCACCTCCAAGGCGGCCCAACAGCACTTCTGGCTGGAAAGAAGACAGCCCCCTGCCCCCTGCAACCGCTCAGGGCTGTGGATCGTCCCGGGCACGTCTGCGTGAGACTGGACCCTCTTCCCCTGTGTTCTGGAAAACCCCGGAATCCTGAAAGCTTCTTCCCCTCTCCACCTCCCCCTGCCTCTGCCCTCACTCCACTCAGGGGCTGGTTTTCTTTTTGTTTTGTTTTTCTCAAAGGACTTTCCTAGGGACAAAGGAACTGCGCGTTTCCCACTGTCGTCTGGAGCGGGGGCTTTCCGTGGCTCTGGTGGGCGAGTCTCTCTCCCTCTTGGAGACCCCTGAGTTCCGAGCACGCCCGCGTGTGCCCGCACTGTGCCAGTGCCCCCTCCTGCAGGGCTCTGTGCGTCCCCGCAGGCCCGTTCACCTCCCTGTCGGCTTTAGAAGGCGATAAAGCAATAACTCCACCGGTTTCCCTTGACATCTGCTAATGCGCTTGCGTTTTCATGTTAAAAAAAAAAAAAAAGAAGGAAAACGGGGCTGGGAAGGTAGGACAGCGCGGAGGGCACCTGCTTGCATGGGGGCTGACCAGGGGTCCTTCCGCAGCATCCCAGATGGTCCCTTGAGCCCCGCCAGGAGTCAGCCCTGAGGATGGCTGGGGTGTCACCAAGAACAAACGAACAAAAAAGAACCCCTCCCACACACAAAACAAACAAAAAAGCAAACAAACAAAAACAAAACCCAAACCATCCGATCATCTCAGGTTCTGCACCCCCCTTACCCCGGCTTTTGAAAAGCTCTTTTATTCCTCGTCTGTGATTTTTCTGGTTTCTTCTTGGCGCTCCGGTTTCTGCGGGGTCATCTTAAGGCCTCTTGGCTGGTCTCTCCAGGCCCTCCTGAGTTCCTTTGCCTCCAGACCCTCTTTAGAACACAGCTGGGTGTCTTGCGGGCCGGCAGGGCTGGGGGATGAGGGGGGTGTTTTCTGTTTTAGGGGTCTTCGGTGCAGTGCCAGAAATCGCCCCCAGGGCCCGTCACTTGCAAGGCGGATGTTGCCCCCCCCCACGTCCCCCGCCCCCCGGGAGTTTCATTTTGTTCTTGCGTCTCCCGTCTCCCCCCCTCTAGCCCCCAGAGACCCCCCCCATCTGACAAGCACTGTATAGAGGTCCGAGTGCAGGGAGGGAGGGTCTCACTCTGGAGGGGTGCCCCCTGCAGGCCGGGTGACCGGGTGGGTGGCCCCTGGTGCCTCTTCTGTTCTTGCCAACCCCGTGCTCATCGCCCCTGGAATTCCCCAGATCTGTGGGGACGTGGCCCGCCCCACTCTCTTCTCTGCCCCTCCCCTTCATGCCAATCCTCCGCATCAACTTCCCCCTCCCCTCCCCTTTCAGTTCCTGCGATGTCCCAGGGATCTAGCAGACACCCCCGGTTTGGTGCCCCTCCCCCCCAACCTGCCTGCCTGGAGCTGTTTTCAGCTCAGTGCCAACCTTGCCTGGGAGATGCCCCCGGCGGGGAGATGCTGGAGCAGCTCACAGTTGGCTGGTGCTGGCGTCGGGGCTCCCAGGCTGGGCTTCCTGATCAGTCTGTGCCCACATTGGTGAGATAGGGAAGGGGGTGGGTGGGTACACACATGAACCCACCCCCCTCCCCCACCCCCAGCATTCACAAGAGGTGGAGCTCTTCCTGGAGAAATGGATCGTTTGTTCCAAACAGTGGTAGCTCAGCTGCCTGGGCACTGCCCCCAAAAGTCTCCACTGGGGGTGTCCAGAGCGATAATACAGCAGAGAGGGCACTTTTGCCTTGGCGCACGGTCAACCTGGGTTCCATCCCCGGCAGCCCTTAAGGTCCCTCCAGCTCCGCCAGGACTAAGCCCCGACTGAGCACAGTTGGCTGAGACCCAAGCACAAAGCAAAACGAAACACAAAAGCCCCGGAAACGAAAGTCTCCATTGCTTTGTCTACCAGCACTCTCTCTCTCCCTTCCCGCCTCCCCCCTTCTCCAGCTTCTTGGGGCGGAGGTACGTACTTCAGCACCACGGCCAGGGCCTGTGGTCCCCGCCTGCACCCGGGCCCCGTTGGCTGGGCTTCAGCTGCGGATGGACCCTTGCGCTGGGCCCCCAGGAACCTCACACGTCATCAGCCTCGGGAGTTTGGCCCCGTTTGAGAATAGTTTGATCCCCTTCATTCATTGCCTTCACTGCTCTCTGGCCATCTGGGGTGGGGAGGGGGCATTTACTTCCTCCAAGGAACTGTGGCTTCTGCTGATTTCTTTCCCTTCTTCTTCTTCTTAAAACATCTGGCTCTTGCTCTCTGAGCAGTTTCCACAGCGCTCCCCAGGACAGCGGGTCCCCTCAAACAGGCGGGCGTGGGCCAGGGGTGGCTCACACTTGAACACGGCTTCAGGCGACACAGATGGCCGTGCTGACATCAGCGTGTTCACAGAACCTGGGCGTGCCCGGCTGCTGCCTGTTTTCCCTGCAGGTCGGCTCTGTCCTGGGCTTGGGAACTGACCCGTGTCTGTCCCATGAGTCCACCCAGCCCTCCCCAAGGTCATCTGCGTGAGTTGGCCCACGCCTTGATTGGAAGGAGAAAAAAAAGAAAAGAAAAATTCATGGACTTCCTCCCTCAGTGATTCAGACACTAAAGCCCTCAACTCTGGCACGAGCCCTCCCCTCCTCCTCTCCCCCCTTCCCTTGGTGAGGCCTCCTCACCCCATCGGGGGCCAGACAATCACTGTGTGTGGGGGGAGGAGGGAGTTTTCCCAGCGTCCCTCTTACTCCAGCCCCCTGCACTCGCAACTCTGCCCCTGCGCCCTGTGCTCACCAGTGCAGTGACGCTAAATGACTCTGGGCGGCCTTGGCGGAGACCTGGGCCACTGGGGTCTTCGTTTCTCCTCTCGGCACCCTGGCCACATGCTCTTTAGGGGTTCGACAACAAAAGGAGGTCCGCTCGTCTCTGCCATTGCCTCGAAGCCAGCTTGGGAACCCTGTCTCCTTGGACACGAACAGAATATGCCTTAATCGTTTGTACGTGGCCGTGTTCCCCGCCTGCCCTCCCTCCAGGGGACACAGTCTCGCCCTCCCTCCCTCCCTCCCTCCCTCCTCCTCTCCCTCCTGCTCTGCCTCCCTCCCCGTCAGCGTCTCAGAGGCTGGTCTTTTGATAAGTCTGTTTCCTTTCCCCTCCAATAAACACACTCTTCTTCGTGGTCCTCTGACTGATGAGATGGAGAGAGCCCTGGGCCACGTGGCGGGTATGTGGCGAGGCCGCAGCCTTGGAGAAACGGGTGCCAGAGAGATTCGCGGGCATCGGTGCGGCCCTGGCCCGCCAGCCTCTAGCTCCCATCCAGGGAGTGGGGGGGAGCGGGGAAACGCTTTGACCGGGGGCCGGATGCGTCCTGCACACTTGGACACACGTGGGTCGCTCAGGCCCAGAAGGGGCAGCGTCTAGACCTTGAGAGGGCATTGCCTGAGTGCCTCCCCCCCCCCCGCCGTGTGACTTCCCAGGGAGACCCCAGCCATCCCTCCTACCCCCCCCCCCCCCCGAGGGGCTGGCAGCTGCTGGCGCGTTCAGATCTCCGCCACTCCCCATCCTGAACCCTCCACCCCCACCACCCCTTTGCTCCAGGAGCTGGGCATAGCTCCAGCAATGCCAGAGCACCCGCGGGCCCCTGGCACCACTGCTTCACTCTGCCCGGTGCTGGGGGTCTCCAGGCCCTCCCCTGCGGGTGTCTGCTTCTCCCCACTCGTCCCTGCGCCCCGCCTGCACACCCTCTCCCAACGCCGCGAGTTGAGCTCCTGGTGCCTTCGCGTGAACACGCGTTTCAGGATGGCGGGTGCCTGCTGAGGAAGGGGATGGAACAGAAGAGACGTGAACATTGATCTCTGCTCCCCGCAGTCTCACAGGACACTCTGAGGACCCAGGAGGGGCTGGCGAGACTGTGCGGGGGCTGAGCTGTCAAAGCGTTTCCCCGCTCACCCACTCCCTGAATGGGAGCTAGAGGCTGGCGGGCCAGGGCCGCACGGTTAAGCTGGGGGGGACCCGAGGGAGGGCTCTTCCCCCCACCCCCCAGTTAAGCCATGGCCAGTCCGCCCTAGAGACCCTTCTGCAGCCCCTAACCATACCTTTCCTCCACCATGGATGTTGATGTGTAGGTGCGAATGTCCCCAGCATCCAGGAGGGATGGTGTAAAGGTGGAGGAAGCTTCTAGAAGCTGATGGGACCTAGAAAAGAGGGTGGTCCTCAGGCTCCAGCCCCGACGGGCTTGGTGGGTCCCAGCTATGTGCTGAGAAGTTGCTAGGAGTCACCCCATTAGAATTCCATGCAAGGGTCTGGGAAAGGGCAGCCAGCGGGAAGCTGTTGGGGCGGGGGAGGGATGGAGAGAGGGAGAGAGAGAGAGAAGGAGAGAAAGAGAGAGAAGAGGGGAGAGAGAGAGAGAGAGAGAGAGAAGTTGTTTAGTCAGAATTTTTCTCCTGCAGTGAGTGTGTGTATGCGTGTGTGTGGGGGCGGTGTGTGGGGCTCTTAGCCAGAGTCCCTCCTGCAAAGCCCCTTCTTCTACCCCCCACACCACACACACACACACACACACACACACACACACACACGTGCGTTGCCTCCCGAGGGATCTGGGTGCAGGGTGGAGGCGGCAGAAAATCAGGTTCTGGATAGTCAGCCCAAGAGTTGTTTTTTTTTTTTTTTGCAAGTTTCCCATCTTGCCCTCCCAGAACATTCCAGAATAGTGACACTCACCCCTGGTGCCACAGTCTACCCATAAGCTCAGCCCTCAGTTGACAATCTCTGGCGTCATCCTCCTGCTTCAGGGGGACGCTGTTGTCTGCAGAGAACTTGAACTCCTCTCCTCCTCCCCCATCTCCTTCCACAGTCTTACGCAGCCAATAAACGGCTCCAAAAGCCGCCCTTTGAGTCCTGGAAGAGGCTCTGCCCCGCACCGTCTCGCCAGCACCTCCCCGGTCCTCAGAGTGTCCTGTAAGACTGCAGGGAGCAGAGATCAATGTTCACGTCTCTTCTGTTCCATCCCCTTCCTCAGCAGACACACACCAGGTGATGGAGCGGGAGGGGGTCAGGAGCGGGACTGGGGTCCAACAGGGTCCCTGGTCCCGGGAGTTGCCTTATGACCCACACGCTCCCGGGGCCCTGGCACGAGGCACCATCTCCAGTCCCGGCAAGGTCCCCCTCTGGTGTCCCAGACAGTTTCGTCTAGAGGGAAAAAAACTCTTAAGGGTCAACCAATGGGAGCCTCCTGGACCCCCTAGAGCATCGATTGCCAACAAGTGCTTTTATCTTCTGTAACTACAGAGGTTTCATACGCACAAGAAGCTATGGGAATCGGGCCCACCCCCACCCCAGCTCCCCTCTTTGCAAGCACGGAGATGCTGTGTCTTGGGGTACCCAAAGTAGCAGATAAAGCTTTGATGCCTTGGAACCCTGGGCGTGTCCCTGCGTGTGGGCAGGGGATGGGTTTCCTGAGACTCCAGGAGGGGTGAGGCGAGAGGTGGTGGTTGGGGGGGGGGGGACTTCCATTCACTGATAAGGGCTGGAGCCTTCAGCCCACCTCCCCAGGGTCCTGGCTACTTCTCCACAACAGGGGTCCAGAAAAGGGGGCCATTGTGTCCTCACCCCCTTCAGGAAGGGTGGCAAGAACTGGAGAGAGTTTTTGTAAGCAGAAGAGAACATCTGTTGGGAGGAGGAGAGGCCAGGACGCAGGACCACACCCCTACCCACCCCCAAAGAATGCCTGGTCACCGACAGCAGCAGTGCACAGCTTGAGAACGCGGGGGTTGGGGTGCCCGACGGGGCCAAGCACAGAGCAGCTCACCCCGAACCCTGATGGATGTGAGGGGAGGGGATGACGCCCTAGACCGTCCCCACATCTGTTCCCCGCTGATAGCCCTAGAAGCTGGCCGCTGCTATGCCAGAAAGGTGGTGGTGGTGGGGGGTGACAGCCACCCTGCTCCCCGCAACGGGCCCGGGGGCTCATGGCCGTCACATGCAGGATCCTGTGTGGGGGAACCACCCTCACCGTCCTCCTGAGCTGACACAACCCCTGTTTCTGGAGCTGGTAGGTAGTCCAGAGGTCATTAGGGGGCACGCTGGACCCAGGCTCTGCCCCTGGAAGGGACTCCTGGCCCCCCGATCTCTGCTTGGGAGCCCCTAGTCAAGAAATTCTGGTCTCTACTGCCCATCCAGGGCCCCCCAGTCCTGCCCCCCAACTCCAGCTGTCCCATGTGCTCCCTCCCTCGCCAGCCAGGCAGGGCATCTCGTCCTAGGGCCACTCCAGGGTTTGACCGGAAACCAGGTGCCAGGAAGAAACCCAGTTGCTTGGCCAAGTCCTCCCCGCCCGATCATCGTTTCATTTACTCGGTGGTCCTGGTGCCCGGACACCAGAAGCTCTCGACTCTCCCTGTGCTTCATGGGGCCATGGTCACGGTCACGCTGGGCCTGAGACAAACCCACTGCTCCTCCTCTTCGCTCTGGACTGCCTGTGACCCCAGGCCTGTGACCGCATGGCTTTGGATGGGCTTTCAGCAGTAAAGTAGGGTCACGATTCCTCTCCTCGGGTGGACGGGCAAAGATGGTTTCCAATAAATGGTCATTATCACCCGTGTGTGTGTGTGCGTGTGTGTGAGAGAGAGAGAGGAAGAGAGAGAGAGAGAGAGAGAGAGAGAGAGAGAGAGAGAGAGAGAGAGAGAGACTGAACACTACAGGATGAGTCTCCCGGGCCATGGGTATTTGTGAATGTGCTTGTCTTTGTGCCTTCATGTGTATCCGTGTGTGTGTGTGTGTGTGTGTGTGTGTGTGTCCACCTGTGTGACAATCAGGAGAACCTCCCCTGGGGCTGCTGCAGGGGCCAGTGGGTCCCCACACGACAGAGAGGAGCCCACGGAGTCTGCAGCGTGTCCTTCCGTGGCTGGCCACGGTCAGCGTCAGACACACAGACAGCGAGTGTGGAAACCAGGCAGCTAAGATTTGCCTCACTCTGCTGTTTTCCCCAGGGCTAGACTGGCCCCCCGGCCCCCAGCCAGCCCCCCGTTCCCAGGTCCTGGCAGCCGGACAGCTGATGCTTGCAAAGTGGACCTCTCTGACTGCAGCCCCCCGGCTCAGTGAATGCGAGAGCTAGCTAATAACGTTATTGTGGGGCGACAGAGTGTCTGGGGCATCTGCTGACTGAGTGCCGGCCTGCTAATCCCGCATTCTCACCCCGGTTTGCCCCGGGGCTGGCCCTCTCCACACTTGGCACCGGCGTCCCTGGAGCAGGTATAAATGCCACCTCCTGCCCACGGGGCTTCATGGGCACTCTCGGGGGCTGGTGTCGCTGGTAAGTCCCCCTTCCTCTCATCCTGGTCCCTGAGAGGGTGGAAGACCTGGGTTCAAAGCCCCTTTCTGACAAGGTGACCTTGGATGAAGACATCCATGTTCTAAGCCTCAGTCTTCCTCTCTGTTAAATGGGGAGAGTGCTGGTGAGACCTTCACACTGGGGCTTTGAGGTGACTCATCCCACAGTGCCTGTGGGCACAGAGTGGGCACGTGGGCATGCCTCCTGACTAATATTGAATAGCCCATCAGTTTCCTGGTGGTACCAGTGACTGGGGGTGGGGTGGGAGTGAAGAATCTAGCTTGTAGGTTTGGTGATGGGCGGGTGAGGGGGTGCGCCCTGCCCCATGGGCTGGGTAAGCTCTCGGGATGGGCAAAGCTTCCTAAGTGTCCACCTGTGTGTACTCTGGGGCGGCTTTCAACCATGCGCCATTTCAAAATCATTGCAGCCTGGTGGAAATCACCCAAATCAGGCTTTCAGCATGCTGGGAATGTTCCAGAACCACTGCCAAGGGTTGGCACTGCGGTAACAGAATCATCACATCCTGCTAGAGACATCCCCAGTCCCCTGCTGGGGGCGGCTTCCAGGACAGGAAACTGAGGCAGAGAGCGGAGGAGAGGGGTTAGCACAGGGCTAGCTTCTGATCAGAAACCTCTGGCTCAGCCCCCCTCGGCCAGGGAAGGCAGGACCCCCGCGCTCGGAAGGACCCATGGGGCTGGTTTCTGGGGAGACGAGAGCAGTCGGGCTCCTAAGCTGCTTCCCCAAATTTCTGCCTTTGAAATAAGAAAATAAGATGGCACGTCCAGCCTGTCCTCCAGGGTGGATACCAGCTGTCTTCTCTGAAGAAGGAGGCCAGGCCCCACCCAGAGGAGCCGGACAATTTTCTAGATTTTTGGACAGTCTGACTAGCTCGACCCCTCAGCCTGGTTGTCCGGCCCAGCTCCTGGACCATCTCTCTCCCAGCCCTGCCTTCCTGAGTCCCACGGAAGGTGGTGTTGGTGGGGGTTGGCACAGGGGGGATGAGGCCAGGGGTGGCAGGACATCCTGAGCCGGGGAGGGAGCATCGAGGAGGCAGTTAGGGGTGCGAGGAGGCAGGGGACTCCGAGAGCTCGTCTTTGGTCCAATTTTCTTTCCGTCAAAGGTGTGTGTGTCCTGCCAACGGGTCCATCCACATCCCGTCAGGAGCTGGGGGCAGGGACCCATGGGGACCCTGTTCCCTAAAGCTGTGACATGCCCCCCTTTCTTTTTTATTTATTTATTTATGCTTTTGGGTCACACCCAGCGATACTTAGGGGTTACTCTCGGCTCTGCACTCAGGAATCACCCCTGGCGGTTCTCGGGGGACCCTATGGGATGCTGGGAATCGAACCCGGGTTGGCCGCATGCAAGGCAAACACCCTACCCCACTGTGCTCACTCCAGCCTCATCTCCCTCCCCTTTTCAGTGGGCCTCCTTTGGAGCCAGACACAAGAAAATGAAACAAAGGAAGACGTTCAGACCCCTGCTTACGGACCCCCCCAGGGCTAAGACTCCCCAAAACCAGGCAATGAGAAGCAGTGGGTGCCCCAAGGCTGCCCCCGGAGAGGGAGCCCAGCATCCCGAGGGACTCACTGCTGCCTCCACTTGTCTTCCAGGCCCTTCAACCATGGCCTCGGACCACCAGAACCCGGCGGGGAAGGGCTACCATCTCAGCCCCAAGGTGGGTAGTTCTCCTTCCTGTGAACTGGGGTTGGTGTCTCCCCCTGCTGCGATGCCCCATCTGACTCTCTTTCTCTCTGGGCCTCAGTTTCCCCACAGCTGGTTCCTTCCCTGCCCACAGATGGCCAGCAGTTTCCAGTTCGGGAGACTTGCGTTTCTCTGCCTAACCCTGGTCCCCTTCCCCCACAATCTCGGGAGCCTTGGTGTTCCCCGAGACTGGGAGGGATCCCAGAGGGGCTCTGTGCATGGGAGGTGAAGGTCACTCCCGACTTCGCTCTGGCCAGGTGACCTGCTCAAGTCATATGGCCCCTCTGAGCTTCCGCTTCCTCCATATGGAACAGGGAGAGTCAGAGGGAGGGCCAGCAGGTGGTGGCGAGAAGGCCAAGAACCCGGGTCCAATGCCCGGCCGACGCTAACACCCTCACCTCACCTCCAGACCCAGCCACACGGTCGGAGGCACTGGACACACTCAGTCTGCCTCCAACTGTGACCAGCCTTGGCACCAGGGGACCCAGTCTGGATTGACCCTTTGGTCTCCTTGGGGACCTGCTCCCCGTGTCCTGCCTGCTACGGGGCCTGTTTTCAAGAGGAGGGACAACCACGAGGCCAATCTATGACAGAAGGAAGAGGAAGGTTCTCAGGAACTGGAAGGGACGAGATTTGGTTAGCCAAGGTGGTGGGAAGGGGCAGAGAAGAGTGGGCAGTGAGGTTCAAGGTAACCACGTGCAAATCAGGTGTGGGGGAGGGGTGTGTGGAGAGTTTTCCTGACAGAGGGTATAGTAGGTGCAAAGGCCCAGTGGTCAGAGAGAGCAGGAAATTCTGCAGAACAGCACTGAGGCAAGTGACGGTGCTTTGGATCCACCCTGTCCCACAAACATATATAATATGAACCAATAGCGACGTGGTTCTTCCGGGCTGTGTTAGATAAGTAAGCTATAGGAGGCATCGATTTCTCTCCAAATTAAACCCGCTATATCCAGCTGCATAATCAATACAAAATTATTATGGAGCTATTTGACATTCCTTTTTTTCACCCCTACTAATCTCCAGAATTCAATGTGCACTTTTTTTTTTCTTTTGGGTCACACCCGGCGATGCTTGGGGGTTTCTCCTGGCTCTGCACTCAGGAATCACTCCTGGCGGTGCTCAGGGGACCACATGGGATGCTGAGAATCGAACCCGGGTTAGTCGCTTGCAAGGCAAAGCAAACGGCCTACCCGATGTGCTATCACTCCAGCCCCTCAATGTGCACTTTTTTAAATTAATTAATTAATTTATTTATTTTGCATTTTGGGTCACACCTAGTAATGCACAAGGGTTACTCCTGGCTCTGTACTCAGAAGTTACTCCTGGCAGTGCTCAGGGGACCCTATGGGATGCTGGGAATCGAACCCGGGTTGGCCGGGTGCAAGGCAAACGTCCTACCCACTGTGCTATCTCTCCAGTCTCTCAATGCGCACTTTTAAAAAACTAAAGTCTGTGGTTTATTCAGGCTTTCTTATTTAAAAAAATTCAGTTTTTTTATTAAGACACCATGATCTATAAAGTAGGGTTGAAGCGATAGTACAGCTGGTAGGGCGTTTGCCTTGCATACAGCCAACGTGGCCCACCCGAGTTCGATTCCTCTGCTCCTCTCGGAGAGCCCGGCAAGCCACCGAGAGGATCTCGCACACACGGCAGAGCCTGGCAAGCTACCCGTGATGTATTTGATATGCCAAACACAGTAACAACAAGTCTCACAGTGGAGACGTTACTGGGCCCGCTCGAGAAATCAGTGAACAACAGGAGGACAGTGACAGTGACAGATCTATAAAGTTATTCATAGTTGAGTTTTAGACAGACCCTATTCCAGCACCGACCCTGCTGTTGGTGTCAACTTCCCTCCAGCAGTGTCCTCAGCCTCCCCCCCAAACCACTGCACCTTTTATACTTAAAATCGATCTGACTTGGGCGTGGCTGCCAGTTCTCAGCAGACGTGTCTAGCTACGGGGCCATCCCGGGTGGAAAGGGCTAGAAAAAGTGCCAGTCTCTGTTTGCATCTGAAATGACAGTGGCACACCTGGAATGACAAAACTGCACCCCTGAGGTTCAGCGGGGGGGGGTGCGGAAACTTAACTTCTTTCCTGCTCACCCCTGTGTCTTGTCCCCCAGGCCGGGGGAAGCGAATAAACGAGCCCCTAACTTCCAGAGTCTAGATTCTTCTCAGCAATCCGCCAGTTTTACAGATGGGGGATCCCGGGTTCCAGACAAGCCGCTTCCCCGGCGCTGCCCAGCGTTACCATGGAGGCGGCCACGTCCATCTCAGCTGACGCATCCGTGGCTGAGTCAGTGACCACAAAGGATTTGCTGAGCCCTTGGAATGTGCCCCTGAGCCCCGAGAACCTCCCGGCCCTGCCTTTATCCTCCTATCCCCTGGCCTGGGAGATGGGGTAGACGTTTGCAGGGTCAGCGCTGACCCTGCAGATCGGACACTACCCCTCCCCGTCACTCCCACCCCAGGCTGTCCCGAATGCATTATCCAGAGGGGGCTCCCTGCGGAAGAGGCCTGAGAACACCCCTGGCCCCGACCTTCCCCCGGCTCTCCCCAGAATCGTGAAACGTGGCCGTTGGTTTTCCAATGAGCCCTTGGCTGTGAAGCCATGGGTGCTGCCTTCACGTGACAAAGCTTTGGATCCTCAGACACGGATTCTGCCGGCTGCAGCCCAGGGCAGACGTGAGCCCACGGGAAACAAAGAGAATTGCAGAGGGGAGCAGAGGCGCGCCGGTGAATCCCAGGGCACTTGGAGAAAGGGCATAGTCTGGGGATAGTTCTAGGGACAGGAGATGGGGCCAGGAGGGGGCATGGCCAACTCTGCTCAGAAGCCGGGTCCTGGGGTTTCGCTTCTTGTTGTGTGACACTGATGGGCAGGGCCAGCCTCTCCTGGGAGCTCCTTAGCACGGTGGACCCGGGGGCTGGGGGGCCGCCCAGCTCTGCTGGACCAAAGCCATGTGGCTGCAGACCCCAGGGGCAAGCTGGAGCTGGTAAAGGCTGGCTCTAGGGAAACCGCCCGGGACGAGCTCAGCTGTGCCCCCCACCCACGCCGTGGGCCGCGTCCCCCTTCCTTGGGGTCTTTCTCTGGCCCTGCAGTGATGCCCCCCCCACAGGGCAGACACCGTGGACCCCGCCGCACCCAAGCCCCACAGCCCTTAGGAGCTTGGCTCTGTCTTCGGTTTCTGTTTGAGAAATGGGGAAACCGAGGCTCAGGGAGGTGAAATGTGGGCTCCCTGTGTCACAGCTGGTTCCCCCAGGCCTGGGGCTGTGTGACTGCGGATGAGGTTCGGACCTCTTCAGGGTGGGCTTCCCCCAAGCTCCCGAACCCCTCTCGAAGTTTCCACTCACCCTCCCGTTGCAGCTTGTCGTCTTTGAGCAGGAGAACTTCCAGGGCCGCTCGCAGGAGCTCAGCGGGCCCTGCCCCAGCCTGAAGGAGACCGGCCTGGACAAGGCAGGCTCCGTCCTGGTGCAGGCCGGACCGTGAGTAGCCGTGTGTGTGTGTGAATGTGTGAGTGTGTGACTGTGAGTGTGGATGTGTGGATGTGTGTGTGAATGTGTAGGTGTGCGCATGTGAATGTGTGAGTGTGTAGGTGTGTATGTGTGTGAGAGTGTGGAGGTGTGTAAATATATATGTATGAGACTGAGTGTTTGTGTGAGTGTGCTTATGTCTATGACTGAAAGTGTGAGAGTGTGTGTATGTGTAAGTGTGTGTGTGTGTACGTGACTAGGTTTGTGTGTAACTGTGTGTGTGTTAGTGGGTGTGTGTGGATGCGTATATATGTAAGCGGGTGAGAGTGTGTAAGTGTGTGAGTGTATGTGACTGTGTTTTAGGTGTGTAACGGTGTGTGTGTGTTAGTGTGCGTGTGTGAATGTGAGAGTGTATATGCACGTGTATGGGTGAGTGTGTGAGAATGTGCATGTGTGTGCATCTATGTGTGTGAGTGTGGGTGTGCCTATGAGTGGATGTGGAGTGTATGCGTGGGTGAGTGTGTGTGAGTACGTGTGTCTACATACGTGACTATGTTTGTATGTAACAATGTACGTGTGTGTGAATGTGTATTGACCTCCCTTTCTCTCCCTCCCTCCCTCCCTCCTTCCCTCCCTCCCTCTCCCTCTCCCTCTCTCCCTCCCCCCCCATCTCTCTCTGTCTACACTGCAGCTGGGTGGGCTACGAACAACCCAACTGCAAGGGGGAGCAGTTTGTGCTGGAGAAGGGTGAGTACCCGCGCTGGGACGCGTGGACCAGCAGCCGGAGGACCGACTCTCTCAACTCCCTGAGGCCCATCAAAGTGGTGAGACCCCCCCCCACCCCCTTCTCTATCCTCTCCACCAAGGGCAGCCCGAGTTCGAGACCAGGAAAGAGCCTTCACTTCCGTGATGGCCCTTCCTGCATCACGTGGCTTCATTCCCCGATCCTGTTTTCCTTTCTGTAAAATGGGGGAGGCGGGGGTCTTAGAACCTGAAACATGCTCATCTTAAGTGCAGCCCACCGCACCACGCACGACACCCCACCAGACACAAAGCCTCAGGCGGCTGCCGGCAGGGAGTGCTGTGGACTGTTCTCGTATGAGGCCGGCCCGCCCAGAACAAGTGGCCGTCCCTTCCCTGAGCTCTGAAGACCTCAGCTGGGGTCAGCACAGAAGGACTTTCTGAGACACTGTTGGGATGCAGAGCTCTTGCCTTACAAGCCTGAGGCCCCGGCTGGCTTTTAGGCATGGGAGGAAGGAAGAGAGGAAGGAAAGGGAGGGAAGGAGGGCGGCCGGAGGGAGAAGGGAATCGAGTGAGGAAGGAAGGAAGGAAGGAAGGAAGGAAGGAAGGAAGGAAGGAAGGAAAGAAGGAAGGATAGGAGGAGAAAGCAGTTCTGAGTTGGGTGTGGAGGACGCTCTAAGCTCCTGCTGAGACCTTTCGGTGTGTCTCAGCCGGTGATGCTTACTACAAGTGGACTCTCAGGAAGGACCAGGTCCCAGCAATACTTGGCAAATCTCTCTCCCCGCACGGAGAAAGAAAACCCTGCCAGTCTCAACTGACTGTCCCCCCAGTCCAATAGCCGGCCAGAGGGGCTGGAGCAATAGCACAGCGGGTAGGGTGTTTGCCTTGCACGCGTCCGACCCGGGTTCGATTCCCAGCATCCCATATGGTCCCCGGAGCACCGCCAGGAGTAATTCCTGAGTGCAGAGCCAGGAGGAACCCCTGTGCATTGCTGGGTGTGACTCAAAAAGAAAAAAATAGACAACCAGAAAACTCTGGGCACCGTACACGTCTGCATTTCTGGGCTAACACTCCTGGCTGTGTGGCCTTGGACAAGTGTTTTTACCTCTCTGAGACTCTGTTATCTTTTGTGCCAAAAGGAGAGAGGAAATAACTGAACAATATCTCAGGAATAGGAGGGCGGGTAAGAGATGTGGAGACGAAAGAAAGTCACAAATGTTGCAAGTGCCTGCTAGAAGCATGCATGGATACATCACACACGTGTGCGTACACGCGGCAGGGACATATGCTGTCGTGGCGGCTTTCGATTTGTTTGGGGGCCACACCCAGTGGTGCTCAGTGCTGGCTCCTAGCTCTGTGCTCCTGGTGGGCGTGGGGAACCATATGAGCTGCTAGAAATCAAACTCTAATCGCCACGGTGCCAGGCAAACGCCCTCCCCGCCACACTACCGCTCTGGTCCTATTGTTCATTTTTTTTTTCTTCTTGGATCACACCCGGTGATGCACTGGAGCTACTCCTGGCTCTGCACTCAGGAATTACCCCTGGCGGTGCTCAGGGGACCATATGGGATGCTGGGGATCGAACCCAGGTCGGCCGCGTGCAAGACAAACGCCCTACCCGCTGTGCTATCGCTCCAGCCCCGCCATTGTTCATTTTTAAGATGGGAGAAGGGAACCGAGGTCCTGGGAGGCAGGAGGGCATCTGAGTGAGATACGCCCCAAAGCGTAGCTCTTGGAAGTCTCCAGTCCTTGACAATAATCCAGTGGGTGCTTGGGCCAGAGCAGGTAGGGCGCTTGCCTTGCACGCAGCCAACCCCGGTTCCATGGCCGGCACCCTCCAGGGCCCCCCGAGCCCCATCAGGAGTGATGCCTTAGCGCAGAGTCAGGAGGAAGCCCCGAGCACCGGGGTGGGGTGGCCCCCACCCCCAAATATAAGAACCCAACGCAAGAAACTGGGTGGACCGGCAGGTGTGGGAAGTCGGGTGAGGGGGAACTGGTGATGGGCAGGGAGAGCGAGCCAATCCCGCCGCCTGCCCCTCGTCCACGCCACTTCCACCCACCCCTTGCCAGCAGGACAGCCAAGAGCACAGGATCACCCTCTACGAGAACCCCAACTTCACGGGCAAGAAGATGGAGGTGATGGACGATGACGTGCCCAGCTTCCACGCTCACGGCTTCCAGGAGAAGGTGGCGTCCGTGCGGGTGCAGAGCGGCGCGTGAGTCCAGACCCCGGTCCAGCCGGCCCGGGACTTCCAGAACCTTCCTTCCCGCGGGGAGGTGGGCGGAGAGTCACTGTCCCAGGAGTGGTTTTAGCTCCCTAAGTTTCCGGCCAGACCCGCCTTTGGGGTGGTCCCAGCTGTTTGAAGGGGGGACCTGGATCTTTAGCTCTGCTGCACGGACCAGGAAGGAACTGACGGAACTGGGGAGACAGGGCGTGGGAATGGGCCAGAGCCCCTAGTGAGGCTGCGCCTGAGTGTGGAGGCATCCTTTCTCCTCCCGCCCTCGCCCCCAGACTGGATGCCGTTTCTACATCTCTCCGTGTTGGCAGCTGTGGCGGTGTGCCTCGGGGAACTTCTTGTCGGGAAAAGCCTGGGGGCCCTGGGGTGGGGCAGGGGTGCACGGGGAGCACTTGGCACCAGTAAACACTCCCCTTGTGCGTGCGCTGGACGCATCAGCATGGGCCTGGTGTCGCGGCAAACACTGGCAGACGCCACAGCCAGGATGGCGCCCTGCCGAGAGAGCTGGGTTCTCGGCACATTCTGGCACAGGCTGGGGCTCTTATCAAGCTTCCGAAAGAGCATGCCAAGTTGTGTGTTCAATACCCCTTGCGTCCAAACCGCTGATCCTTCCCTGGTGGGTCTGGCATTTGGGGCTCAGTGTGTGACGAAGATTGGAGAGAGGGATGCCAGCTGCTACCACCTTCCTTGTCTTGTCCTTGAAAGGGACAGGATTGCAAGGCAGAGTGGGATGGTGGGGGGGGGGGGCAGGGAGTGGTTCCCCCAGCCCCTGAGCTCAGTATAGCTTGTGTGAGTGGGACGTGTGTGTGTGTGTGTGTGTGTATGCGCGCGCATGTGGGGTATGTGT